GATCAGACCCGCGTGATCTTGGAAGCTAGGAATTTTAGCATGGCCAGTACTTGGAGAAAAGCTCACTGGGCATCCTGGCCTGAAATGGCACATGCTCTCAGCCTTGAGAAGCCGAGACCAAATACTCGAAGAATGTTAGACGGCAGACACAGAAGGAAAGACAGCATTCAGACCATACTACCACAGCGTGAATGAAGCACTGATGGGAGACAAAAGTAAAAGAGCGATTGCCGAGGCTTCTCAATTTATTCTGACAATTTTTTTCCTGTTGCGTTTTTTGAGACTGAAGAACTATACTCCCTGTAACCCCTTTAATCATAGCTGGAATACAGGATCATATTTGGTTGGCTTTCGGCTATCCCTCGGTTTTGCCTTCAGCTTTGGTGAGAATTTTGTGCTTCCCAATTTTACTGCATCAGATTTAGTCCATTTGCAATCCAGTAATTACTGACTGCTGAAACACATCAGCCAGCTAACATATTGTCATTGAGCCGATAATATTCTGAAAGGCTGAGGTTATAACATCCAAATACCAAAATGCTACAAGCCCTGTGATAGGAGTTACATAAAATCACTTCTGTTCACCTTACAGGATGAAACTGGCAGGTGTATCGTTTTTCTCCTTAACTCTGATATAAAGTGCTTACGGAAGGTTTATGTAGCAGTCTGTTCTTTGTAATAAAAGTGTGAGATAGCTTTCTCTTGATTGTACGTACAAAGTTGATGATGTTTGTTGTTGTGGGAACAGCTAGCGTTCATATTGTCTTGAATTAAGTGGGGCGTTCTATGCAAGACGTACGTAACACTAAGACGACCAGACTCCTAACAGCTGGAGTATAGTGGGCAGAATGTGGTCGGTGCTTGTGATAATAGCAAGCGCTCCATGCAAAACGACAGGAGTGATCAGAGTCAAGAGTCTAAAGAGAAAAGATGTAAAGAACAGGTTGTGTTTAGCTCTGAGAAGGCAAAGGGAAGGCCTGACAATATTTTGACAGCTCACGTTCCCTATTAGGAATACGCTTATCAGTGATAACTGGAGTGGATTCCTTGGGGAGCCTCTGTCTTCAGAAGATTTTAGAACAAATTAGACAGTTCTCAAGAACGGATGAAGTATATTTGATCTTTTCTTGGGGCTGGGGATCAGACTACATCATTCCCCCGTGCCCCCTCAGACCCTGCTATGAATTGTTCTAGTGCAATTGTCCCAAGCTGCGGAAAGGCTAGCATAACTTCGTAAGGGGAAATGAACAAGACGACCACAACTCAAGTAAAAGCCGTAGCTGTGGGCATAGTTTTGCAGACTTTCTCTACCGGCACAGTAACAGACGGTTGTATTCTCAGCTTTCACTCACGTTTTCTTGAAATGCTTGATATTTTTACATAGCAGTTGATGGCCTCTCCGTAACATGGATTACAGCAGTGGTGCTTAGTACATCTGCACAGGATCCAACCTCACTCCTGTGAACACTGTATGTGAGCCTGTTCTTCAAATATTTGCTCCTTTTGTTGTGTCTGTATTTGCAGAGCATTCTAAAAGTTCATTCCTGGAAACAGTCATACCCTCTTCCACTAAAGCCAGACGCTTCATGGTTTTATGTTAGGGATTAGGCAGGCTCTTGATACTGCCTACAACTCTGCCGCGCTTTCTGCAGTTCCTTGTACACCAGCTCCAAGTGCATTTTTACAAGCAGGGTTTGGTCTTGGTGAATACTCTGTATGTTTACTGTCATTTATGGGCAATTACTGTATCACTGGAAACGACCCAGTGGAAGTTTTCTTCACGTGAAACGTTACAGTCAAGCAAGGACTTGTACTTGCAGTTGTAGGCAAAGCAGCATAAAGGAGGGACGTAATGACGCAGTTCCTCATTGCTGCGGGGGAAAAAAGGGTCGCACTTTATCTCCCGTTTCCACGTTGCTGTCTAGGTTGATTTGCTATGTTCAGCTTTCCGTGCTGAGCTTTCTACGTTCAGCTTTCCGTGTTAGGTGAGAGAGTGGAGTTAAAGGGTAGATTTTGGGGAACTTACCCAAACCGTTAAGCGACCAACACTGAGGTGAACCAAACTGACAATGACCAAAGAAACGTGTGGATAGAAATCAAGGTTACTTAGTCTTTATCCCTCTCCCTGCAGTGTGAGGAAAGCATCGAGGAGATCGCATCATGAAGAGAACTTGCAAATAAAGTTTCTGCATAAATGAACATAGGGCCTTAAAAAGTGCTATATATAGTGAGGACCTCGAATGGAGGCGTTCAGACATTTTACCTTCTGGCAGGAGTACAGGAGATCACCTTATGTACTGGCATGGATTTCTTGCAGCTTGTTGGAACGTTCTGTCTAGTGCAAAAAGAAGATAAGCACTTAGGGAGCTGCTGGGTGTGCATCCACATTAGTGGACGTATTAGTGTTGGGATCAGGACTGCACTTCCAGCAAGAATCTCCTCCTTGTCCTCGCTCGCTCTGCGCTCATTCACGCTGTGGAGCAGTGTCAGAGCACGTGAACTGGTTCCCTTGGAACTTGGTGTCTTCGGAATTCTGTCAGGCACTAAGAATATGAAGCTTTTAAAGCACAGTCTGATTGCTGATTGCCTTCTGTTTCTGTAAGTTCTCATCTGGTCTTTTCGGTCTCCTTTGGGGGAGAAGTTTTGTGGGTTTTTTTGGCTTGCTTTTTCTGTTCAGATACGTTGCTGCTGTATTACTGGCAACACGGACGTTTAAAGGCGATGTAGGTATATATATAAATAGAACAGCTGTTTTGCTGAAAAGCAAAAGCCTGTGGTGCACTACCTATTTACCAAACAAACGTTTTGCTAAATACCAGAAAGGCCTAATTATAGTAGGAACTGGTCCTGCTCTATAGCTATTGAGGACATGAAAGTTTCTATGAAACCTCTGAAAAATTCTGCCCAGAAGTCTTGTGTAAATTCACAGAAGACAGACAGACTAGAAAAGAAGAATCTCTCTTGGAGGATCTTTCTTTGGAATAAAGAGAGAAGGTTTGTGCTGCAATGTTAACATAAAAGAAGGAAAACGTAACTGCTTCCGTGAAGAAACAGCCCGCCGAGAGATGTTTTTCAGGCCCTTAGGGGGGGGAGCAAAAGCAGCTTAAGGTAAACTTGTCACTTTGTCCCAATCTTAACCCCAGTCCACGCACACATCTTCAATTCAAGTTAAAGTTCAAGCTAGCAGACCTAGCAGAAATGGGCCTTATTTGACACTGAAGCTACAAACGCTGCGGAGATGAGTTACCTACCTATTACAGCAGCTTATCAACTGCAAGTCTGATCAGTCTGTATGGCTTCACTGTTGCGTGGCTCTCTTATTCCTCTCAGGCTCCAGGTATGCAGTAAGTCACATACCAGTGTACTTAAGCTAACACTTGCAGGGGAGACGAGCTCTAAAAATTCTCCTAGAGGAGGGGTGAGTAAGTCGCTCAACATCCCAAGAGGAATTTAGATGCTGTGATCATTGGTGCAGGTAGTACGTAATCACGTTTTATTGGCAACTCCTAAAGATAGCCTTCCTCTGAGGCTACACAGAGAGAAGCTGAATAGACTGTAGCTGGAGGGCCTAATGCAACGTACTGTAGAGAGACCTGATCTGGTAGTAAACACACTGAACTGCGTAAACAAAACCCTGTAAGCCCTTCACCATAGTGCTGTGCATTGGACTACGTTCTCTGCCGAGAATTTACACTGAATCCTTAGAAACAATAAGTGTGTACCAAGTGTGGCAGTTGGCTTACTCAAGCCATGCCACCACTGTTGGCACACCTAAGAACTTTGCTTCTCAGGCGGTATGTTTGGGGAAGAGGCAGGGAAAGGCTGTGTTCTTGTATTAGAAAACCTGCAAATAAAGTTTCTTTATAAATGAACGCAGGTCCTTAAACCTTTTTTTCAGGTTCATGTTTGATCCCTCCAGTACTCTAATGAGTTCAGATAACCTTTATTATTTGATTTCGCTTATTTGTAGCCTAGTCAAAACGTTAAAAATAGCCCAGTAGCTTTCTTATTCACACTTTTGAAAATGCTATGCTTTCCTGGGACACAGATTTGGGACGCTGTGCTTCATCTCAGAGTATGCTATCGCAGCATTTGAATAAACACCTGAATATAATACTAGAAACGCTGACAGTCTTAAAGACAGGCTGGCACTGAGTATCACCCAACAACCCACGAGGCGTACTCTACCTCGGACTCTGTTCATTCTAATACAGTAGACGGGACGGCAAAAGCACTTAGCTAGTTTGCCTATCAAATCTTTAAAACGTATCACAGAATTGCAGAACGGCCACGGTTGGAATTGCAGAACGGCCATTGCAGAACGGCCCATGCTCAAGCAGGGTCGTCTAGAGCGCGTTGCTCAGGATCATGTCCAGGCGGGTTCTGAATATCTCCAGCGAAGGAGACTCCACCACCTCTCTGGGCGACCTGCTCCAGTGCTCTGTCACCCTCACAGGAAAGAGGTTTCTCCTCAGGTTCAGATGGAACTTCCTGTGGTTTCGGTTTGTGCCCGTTGCCTCTTGTCCTGTCACTGGGCACCACTAGCTTCATCCTCCTGACACCCTCCCTTCAGATATTTGTACACGTTGACGAGATCCCTTCTCAGTCTTCTCTTCTCCGGGCTGAACAGGCCCAGCTCCCCTCAGCCTTTCCTCATAGGAGAGGTGCTCCAGTCCCCTCATCCTCTTTGTAGCCCTCCGCTGGACTCTCTCCAGGAGCGCCATGTCTCTCTTGGACTGGGGAGCCCAGAACTGGACGCAGTACTCCAGGTGAGGCCTCGCCAGGGCTGAGGAGAGGGGCAGGATCACCTCCCTCGACCTGCTGGCAACAGGGGTCTGCCTAATGCAGCCCAGGATACCATCGGCCCTCCTGGCCACAAGGGCACATTGCTGGCTCATGGGGAACGTATGTACGTATGTTGAAACACTATAAAGTAAATTATTGCATACATGCTTTGCGTATTTATATCAGTAATTGCTTTGTATTCTCTTTTCTTGCAGGAGGTGAAGTCACCAAGCCCAGGTTTGCTCAGTATTTCCATGGCAGCCTGGCCAGTCTTACGATCCGGCCTGGCAAAATTGAGAGTCAGAAAGTGATTTCCTGTTTGCAGGCCTGCAAGGAAGGTCTGGATATTAATTCTCTTGAGAGCCTTGGACAAGGAATAAAGGTGAGGGATGAACTGACATCATCTTTGATAAAAATTTAGAGCTGATTTATGAAGCGGAGAGCCCAAGGTAGAGTAGTACACACAGTACAAATGTACTCCCAGAAGGAAAATAATTTGCCATAAAGTCACGCAAAGAAAAAGCGAAGCAGTAGAAGAGCTGTGACAGAGCAAAGAAAAATGTTTCCATTATTTCAAAGCTAGATGCTCAGAAAATAACGTGCTGCTGGCATTTCAGAGTCTCTACGAATTTCCGGGTCGTGTGCTTATTTTGCTTATTTTGGTGCTTCTACAGAAATAGATATGGTTCCAGGGAATTACTAAATTTTGATTTTACATAGCTTTAAAGCAGAAGAAGACATAAATGGTGTATCTTTCATCTGGAAGCAACTCAGAAGTCCAGATGTACTAGGACTGAAAAAGGATTTCCAAGCGGAAAGCCACATTATGGAACATTAAAAATGGGAAAACAAAACACATCGAAGGCAAGAAGTTCAAAGTTTACATTTGCATACAAATAATTATCCGTCCTCACTGTGCATATGACTGTCTTTACTGATACAGTCACACTTTTTCCAAGCTAGGACAACAACAGACGGGGGAAAATCATATTTCCGTTGATGTAGTAGCCGGATTGCTTTGCATTCATTGAGACAATTTTGGTTCTTTTGAATACACATGAAGGATCCTGAATAACTTTTCTCATGTTTACATGAAGAGCGTTCTTCTGTACTGATGTAGCTATCAGATGACAAGTGTTCTTCTTCTGCCTGATGTGTGTACTTATCCATTTATAGTTGAGTAAGCTGGAAAGCTTTGCATTGGTGCATTTCAATGGCTAGTTAGAATTAAGCTATTTTGTAGTACACCAATAACAGTACAGTCTTACACAGGAGCTGTGCTTCAAACTAAAACAAATTGAACAAAGGAAAACAACTAGGAAGATAATTTGGCTGCAGACCATGCAGACCTTTGAAACAGCACGCTTCCTTTGGTGTTTTGTTTTTTGGGGGGGGAGCTCAAGTGGTAGTGTACCACTCGAGCTCAAGTATGCTGTGGAACTGGTGTGCACTACATTCGTATTAGCTAAACCACTTTCACTGTACAAAACCGGAGACTGACCTACCATAGGCGAAAAATCCATCTAGGTAATAAGATACAGTGGTGTAGTATAACCACTGTATCTCTGAAGACAAGGGTAAAAATGCAAGTTGTAAGTGCAATTTAAAACTGAGGAGCTATTTTGTTAGCGTTAGCTTTTACACAGGAGCAAAGACTCCCAAAAGTATTTCTTCTCTTTCACCGTATCAAGGACATCATTAAAGAATTTCGCATTGATGGCTCTCCCTGCAAAACAGTGAGTTTTAATGACACATTTATGAATAAAAGCTCTTTTTATGAAAAGACTATGCATACAGTGAACAGCTGGGCTTTTTTTTTTTTTTTTTTTAAAAAGGAACTCGAGCGTATAGGCATACCAGTAAGATGTTTGTTAGGATTGTAACATGAATTAAAGCAGCGTTCCCTTGGTGGGTAGTGTCTTTTTAAAGACAGTAGTTCCGTGTCTCTTGTCACCTTCTGAAATTTGAAAGTATTCCAGTAACTTGTTATTTCACGGGACTGGAAAACTCTGTTAAAGCTCTCACTGTTGCTCCAGCGTGGGTGATTGGCTTTCTTACTGCAGTAGCAGTGCGGTGGGAAAAATAAAGATGAGAGATTGTTTTCCTCCGTTTCTTTCTCCTACCACATTTCAAAACATTTTCATTTTCCAAGCTGCAGTTGAGGCATGGGGGTTCTTTAGTTACTGCTTTCATTTTTATCCATCTCCTCAGCTAGCTCAACACTCAGCGTTAACAGCGGGAGGGCAAAATGGAAGAAGCAGAGATGCAATGTAGTACGGTTTCTTACTGGGGCTGACAAAAGGAAGCTCAGATGAAAGAGGATGGGTTGGCAGCTAACCCTCAACAGGAAAATAGTTTCTGGTGTCAACCATAAACATACCTGATGCGATAGGTTCTGTGTGTTTGCATGGCACTTGGTAGACTGCATGTTGCCAAACTGATGTTGGGAGGAGTATCAGCTGGTCACTTTGGACTCCTGAGGCTTGACCTTTATAGCCACCTAGAAAAGCGCAATGTAGTTGTAAGATGGTTTCTTACATAGCAGGGTTGGATTTTTTATGTCTGCCCCCTGATTATCGGATATCTGTAACAGCTTTCAGAGGCACTGCCTAAACTGTCACTGTTTTTAGCTTTTTTTAATGAGAAAGACAAAAATGGCTCACCCTAGGGATTTCTCCCGTTCTTCTGGCAGCATTCCAGCTGTTCTGGCCGCTGAGCTATTAAGATAACTAGCTAGCTAGAGTCTCCTTTTGATCGTTTTGTTCTGTACTGTTGCTGGTTGACAGGAGAGAATTGCATGCACGTTGTGGCTAGTGGTAGTGCTCTCCTTTGTTAAAAAATACTCTTTGGAACATAATCACCTTTACTGCGTAAGTCTTGAACCCAGCCCTCTGTTCTGTTGGGCAGAGAACCCTGTGCTTCCTTCTGTTCTTCAGAGTCTGTTTGCTCTTTTGCTTTTCAACTCCCTCTTTGTAAGGAAGTGTAGACGCTCATTGTCTGTATTGTAACAGAATACGTTCATAAAGTCAGAACCCAGCTTTACGAAGGGACTGCATGTGATTGATAGAAGGGTGCAGTTCTTTGTATTCTCTGGTTTCAGCAGCGGGGTACGAATTTCAGGAGGGCTAATCTGGTTTTCTCTGCAGCGGAGATGGTTTGCTGAAACAACAGACAAAAAAGGAATCAAGATGAATTATGGTAAAGATAAAATCAATCCTTTGCTATGCAGAGATCGTCGCAAAGTTTCTTGGTCAGTAAGACTGCTTTGTGGTCAATGCAGTGGTAGGGGTTGCTACTGAATTTGCAGGATTTGTCAGCTCAAATGCGCATCTGGCTTTATGCAAGCAGCAGCTCCATTTTAAATCGTGACACCCCTGCAGTGATCATGAAACAGAGAGAGCAGAATCCCCTTGCTTGTGGCTGACATTAATGAAAACGGAGCAGGAAAACGTTGTAATTGTTTCGTTCGTTCGTGTTGAAATATATCTCAGAAAGGTAGCTCAAGGTAAAAACAAGCAGAAAGCGGGACAAATATGCTTCTGCCTGCTACTCTTGTTGAAGCCAATGTTTCTAGAACGGGAATGTATTTGACCTAAAAAAAAATAGGTAAGAATAATAACTACAGTAAGTTATGTTTTTGAACTATACGGTCGCAGAAATTCTATGAGCAAAGTGAGTAAGACTGGACAAGGTAGAGCAAAACTAGATTAATTGGCTATAAGATTAATTACAGCAATAATATTAAGATGTGAAATAGATGACTGATTAGTAGATGTCTTGGGGAACAAGACATGCGTTCAGTCAACAACGGCTATCAAGAATTTTGTCCTTGAATTACTAGATTTTAAAGTTACCTCCGTGAAACGTTCCTTAAAATGCGGTGTTCTGTACTCTGTACCTGGTACCTTAGGTACTAATCATCATATGCATTTCCCCCAGTATCACTTCAACCCTTCCCAGTCAGTCCTTGTCATGGAAGGAGATGACATTGAGAATATAAATCAAGCTCTCCGAAAGGTCTCATACATCAACTCCAGACAGTTTCCTACCGCAGGTGTACGGCGTCTCAAAGTCTCATCTAAAGTCCAGTAAGTTATACTTCAGCTAAGCTGATGAGTAGTACTTCTAATGAATTATTTTTTATGTATAAACGTAGAAAGGAGAATGGTGATGAAACTGCATTGAGAAATCATAATTTTATGATACCAGGAGTAAGGCGTGGATTTCGTTTACTTTTATGCTGAGTTACTTTGAATGTTAACTTAGTTGTGTTCTGTTTATAGTCTGAAGCATGTAGTCTGAACAGCACGTGCGTTTATATTCCTACTGAATGCACGTTTTAAAAAGTTACCGATTATTCTGGCAGAGCGACAGCCCTGACTTTTAAAGCAGGCCTGTTGTGATAACTCACAGACTATACGTTCACAAGGACGTTATGCCTACGCTAGAAATAGTCTTTGTCTCTGTCCTTATATGGCTGTCATTACTGAGCTCTACGTGGCTTGCGTTAAACAGAAATCTGTGTGTCAGTCTGTTCTCCTGCAACAATTGCGTGATAAGTAGCCGCGTAATAACGGTTACAGTTTTACATAACGAAAGAGGGGCCTGCCACAACTCGGCCACTGAGCTCCCCTGGGGTAGGGCTGTGTTACAGCAGGCCGTGCAGTGCAGTAGGAGCAGATTTGTGGAGTGAAACAACTGGCGCAGGGAACCCCACATCCACACTGTAGGCAGTTTTTCCTTAGCACTAGGTTTAGCCTAGTGCTGTGCGCTGACCACAGTAAGTGATCAGGATTCTGATCAGCCAACTTCTGATTCACTTTCACTGGAAGGAATCCAGTTTGCACGCTGCCAGGCTGGTCTGTGGTACGTGCCGAGGTGCAGAAAGGTGTAGTTAGGAGATTTTCTTCAGAAGTGCATTGCTGCCTCAAACAGAAATGCTAATGCAGACCCCCGCCCGTCTCCCCCCCTTTTTTTAAAGGCCAGAATGAGTTCATGATACATCCAATTTAAATGGACAATTAGGCCCTTTATTCACACCTAACAAAACAAAGGTAGTACAGTCATTGGATCTCACTTGGAGAGCTTAGTGTGTTAGGTTTAAGTACAGGTCCTTGTCACCGTGTAATTAGCGTTTTCACTATTACCTTTGTTAAATGCCAGTTAAGCCTCAAAGCAGTATTCTCACAGTGACCTTACTATAGGCTGAGCTTGTCACGAATCCCTTAAGCTGTCCCTGTGCAATTTCAGTAGCTGTGGATGTGGGAGGAGATGAGCAGAACAGAGCTGTTAGCTGGCACCTATGCAGGTATATGTCCTTTTACGCAGCAGTGTCCGAAAGTATGAAACAGGACTGAGCTGAGAAAACAAAGCGGTAAGAAGTATCATTCAGGTTTTGGGCAGTGGAAGTGCCACGTGCCTCTGATATGCCAAGTGTTACATGCAGTTAATGAATGGTATATTTTTCAGATGTTTTGGTGAAGATGTCTGCATTAGTATCCCAGATATAGATGCGTATGTAATGGTGTTTCAGGCCAATGAGCCCAAGATTACAATAAGTGGGATGGACCACTTTGCTAGACCAGCTGCACAATTTGAAGCTGAAAGAGGTGTTACTCTGTTACCTGACATCAGGATTGTCAGCACTGTCACTGAAATGGAGTATCCAGTGGACTTTAAAGAAAACGACAGAGGTTTGTGGATTTATTTTAAGTGTTACTACTTATTGTAGAATATGACTCCTCAGACGTTTTGAAGTATAGTGCAAACAAGTAATACACAGGAAGTCCCTTCACACAAAGGAACGGAGGCCACGTTGCGTCGTACTCGGAACATTGCAAGAAATAGTTTGAAAAGTGAATAAATCCCTATTCGCTTGGCCTACTCGCTGAAGCACGTCTTCATATGCTTCAAAAAGAAAAGCCGCTTCCCCGTTCAGCTCCCTCCTACTTCCGAAAAATTCCTTTGCACTACTGAAATCCTTCTCCACATATTCTGTTGAGTTAACCTATTTCCTTTACAATCTCTTAATTTTAACATAATACTATTACTTTTATTAATCCTGTGGAGAGCCGTAATTGACTGTGGTTGGAGTTTTAGCTTGTTCTTCTGTTTGCAGCTCTGCTACTGGCCTTTGGGTGATACTTTAGTGAGTACTGTAATCACCTTGTGCCTCAGTTTCTCACATACATAAGGAAATAGTTAGTCACCCTGTGAACCTCATTTGCGCGCATTTTTTTCCACGACGATGGTTTCAAAGGCTGGAAAATGTATTCTAATAGCCACTGCATATATTTAAGGCATGTTAAAAAACCAAATTCTTGCATGCAGGGGAGTGATCAGTACCCTTCGCATACTTAAGAGACGCTGCATTTATAATGCCCCGTGTTCCTAAATATTATGACATCTTCAGAACTCTTCAGTGAATTAGGAACTAGTGCCCTCCAGTTTAGTTCATAAATTCTGTAAATCCCAATTTTTCTAAAATTATTATTCCCATAATCACCATTGCCCATCATACTCCCAACTTACTTGGTGGTGTAGCACCAAGTAACCTGAAAAGCCTGAGGTTCACCCTCAGAAGCATTTCTTAACCTGCCTGGAAGTCGAGCACCTCCTAACATGCCACCTCTCTTTCTTTAATCTACTAGGAGAGGTTAATGTGGGTAGATAATAATGGCTTTTGGGAATATTTGTGCTCTGCCAGAGATCGATGAAAGTTCTGAGTTCAGTTCCTGCACCTGAACAGCTTGAAATCGTTATTTCCCTTAGCCCAGATATTATCTGACAGACCAAAGTCCAAAGACAGCTGTACATCTTGACCTGTATCTAGCCATAGCTGCTTCTCCCCTTACTGGAAAGTTAGGTGACCTGAGCATCATGACTGCAGCAGATACACATGGCGCAGCTGTAGGCGGCTGATTTAGTCACCGTGTATTCCCTCGTCACAGGACCGAGTTAGCTGTGCCTCTAATCAGAGGCGGAGTAGGCAGTTGCCTCAGGCAGCAGAACGGCCACGGCTCCGAGGCTTACTTTGCCCCTATGGGAGTCTTACAGTGCCAAACTGTTGCTGCTTGTCCTGCCCCCATATAGAAATCAGTGTCCCCCTCCCTGCAATAGTGACATTACTGCCTCTGCCTCTCCTCCTTGCCCCGTGACAGCAGGAGCAACAAAGCTGGCCAGTTAAGGCTTTTCCCTTGCTCTGCAACCCAGCTCCTGCATGTCTCTCTTGCAGCTTCCCATGGGGACAGTCCAACCCAGGAGTTGGGGTTCCAGGGCATAATAAGGCTTCTGTTAATGCATTCCTTCTGCAGAGATCCTCTGACCTGAGAGTCGCAAAATGGGTCAAAATTTCCCAGATTCCAGTCTCTGCACCTACGCTGGTAATCTCTCTCAGGGAGCTGGTTACGCAGTCTTGCCAGCCACTTTGCGCTAAGTTGGCCAGAGGATGAAAATATTGACTCTGTACGCTACTCTTCCAGTGACAGAAGGGTTTTTTTTAACCATACTTAACTCCCTATAAAGGATAGTCAGTTTCCAACTCAGTTTCTCCAAGTCACGTCAGGCAGGATCATGCCATTTATGGCGATACCGTGTTCTTGGATAAATGGCGTAGTGTTCTCTGTAATGCAAAATTCTTTGTAGGCCACAGAGTAACTGTGAGAGAATCCTGCAAGCACAGATATATTTGATGTATGTTTTTCCACGTCAAGTTTCCTTGAAACGAGCATGAATGTGTAGTACCAGCCCAGTGTCAATAGCAGTACTGAAAAGCAGAACTGTTAATGCGAATTTCTTTCCAGGATCAAATTTCAGTTTTATACTTCCAGCACTGTTCTTGAATGCCTTTTATCGTAGTGCAATTCATCTTGTGTCTCCGTAGGTACTTTTAGGCCTTTGTCATTATAGTATCTGAGCAGGGAAGACGTTTTGCTTTTGATTTGCTTCAAGTGGTCTGTGTTTAATATGAGTGAAGAACAATTCAGCCATCTATCTTTGTGAAAACTGAAAGCCCTGAGAGCTTTTTTCTTATTTTTTATGATATGTCATGTGTTCACAGCCAACGAGCCAGTCGTATTCGAGGAAACGCTTCACAACCTGGATTTCTGTGATGTTTTGGTCATTGGCATGGAACTAGATACTGAGAAAGAGTGCTTAGAACTAGATCGTGAGGAGCTTCAGGGAAAACATCTAGATGCCACCAATTCCACAGCAGGCTATTCGATCTACGGTATGTTCATGAGCTTTGCTTTCCCTTAATTTAGCCCCAGCAGCAATTATATAAACTAATTTCAAAGCAATCAGGCAGAAATCTGAGGTGTACTACCAGGTCGAATGCATTGCAGGAGAGCTTGTGTCTCAGAAAGCAGAGTTACTTCTTGCCGTTTGGGTGTGCTGTGCTTATCCTGTGGAACGCAGCACATCTTCTGCCACTCACCAAACAGGGCAAATAGCAACACTGCTCTTTTTTTTTTATATATATATTTTTTTTTGGTTAGAGCGTGGGGTTCTTGTAGACCATCACTGTGGCACGTGCAAGTGCAACAATGCTGATAGCTCACTGGCCCTTTTTCTCAACCTACATAATTTATTCTAAACCTTTGCTGTTGTAATTTTCTCTCTCCGTTATGGACACGCATTCACTTACAAAAGCTGTCCTCACATGATTGAGTATGGATCAGAGGCTCTATCAGAGACTATTTTATGCATTGCCATTTTCAGACTGACCTGACAAGTTTTGTATTTTCTCCGAATATTTGGTTTCCCCCGCACTGCACAGAGCACTTGTTGCTACGTAGCATCTCTTTCTGATTATTAACTGCTTTGCTACCATTTCAGGTGTGGACACCGTGCACAACTACGAACAAGTTCTTCAGCAGATTCGGTACCGTAACTGGTACGCTTCTGCCGCCTTTGACAGAAAGTTCAGAGTTAAATGCTCAGAGCTAAATGGGCGTTACACCAGCAATGAATTTAACTTGGAGGTAAGCCACCATTCAGATGTTCTTTGCTAGTACTGAGGCTGAGCACTCGCCTCATCCTCAGAGCCACACTGAGTTTCAAAATCTCTGGAAAGATTGGCACGTTCGGATGACTAATCAAATGGGGGAAAAGTTCTGAGTTTCGTACAAATACAAAGTGTGACTTCTGCACGTAGGTACGTTTGTGGAGGATCACATCACCATCACTGTTTTTCCATGATGTAACTACCACATAAAATCCCGTATATTTATATTTTTGAAGATGCGGAAGTAAATCATCACAGCCTCCTCATTTTTCCTTCATGCGCTTTTTTTAACGTTACCTATCCCACTTTTCTTTCTTGAAATCACTACCTTTTCAGTTTTGCCAAGCACTGTTACCTTGCAGTAAGCTTAATAATTTGTTCTTCTTCAGATGGAGATCGTTCACAGTAATTTACATCGTTTCAGATTTCTTTGAGGAGAAAAATCAGGATATAGGCAATGCGCAGGATGGACGTCGTATGTCATCCTTCATGCTCTTTTGGAGCCACCGCCCAGACATGCTCAGTTACTCAGGATAGTAGCTCTCTTGAGCTTGTGTCAGCCAGCGCTAAGTCCAGTGCAGCAGCACAGTGACTGCGAATTAGTGCTGATGCATCTCAGCAGCAATTATGGACCTATTCTGCAGAATCACGTTATCCCGCCTAGAACCCCGGTACCAAGTAACTAAAAGGAGAGGGAGAGGAGGACCTTCTTAACAATAGGCGGCACAAAGGAAAAAATAGGTTGTTAGGCGAGATGGATGAATCCTGCTTGTACTTCTTTATGTCATACTGGGAACTCTTTTCTCGCCTTAGCGTTCCGCAGCAGGGTGGTGCAGCCCTGAGAATGACTTCAGGGTTTTTGCTTGTAATGTTAACCGTGAGTAGGACAGAGGAGGACAGAATCTTCCAACAGAGGACTCCGCTGAAAGCAGGGGGAACGTGAAAAACTGAGACCTCTTTTAGTTCTCTCTTACTGTTTCGGTTTTAATCGCAACCGGTTTGATAAACTCACTGTCAGTGTCCGGAGTGGCAAACCTCCCACTAACTTTAAGGGAACATCTGCAAACTGATTAGCGGGGAGAAAAAGGCAACGACCTACCGTACAGGTAAAACTAAAAAAGACCTTCCTTTCTTGTGACACTTCAAGTCAAAAGGTAAAGGACGACTACTACTAAGAAATAGGTTAACCTTTGTATTTTTCTGTGGGCTAAGAAATAAATTTGGTCCATAAGCTCCATCTAATATAAAGTTCCTGTCTGCTGCCGAACTTCATTACACGGTGTAACGAGCGGTACCACCAGGCTTGGAATGCAGAGCGCTTTTTAGTATCTGATCTTTTGAATTCTCGTCTTGTGCCAGGTTAATATTCTACACAGCTCCAACTCCAACTTTATGGACCATGTAAATCATATGATAGTAGAGCCACAATTTCTCCAGGCTGTCCACCACCCAGAGGGCAGCATAAGTGGTCCCCACAGGTCAGGTATGTGAAAACCTTAACAGAAACTGCTCTTAATGATGCCGGTATGTCGTCATTTCCCTTACGAGTCATCCTAGTCAACAAATGAAGCCCTGCAGTCCATAGTTAAACTCTGTGCAGCCTCACAGATGATGTTGCACAGGTATAAAGGGAGGCAAAATTTAATTCCCTTCTTTCTGAGGCGGAGGTATGTTACAATTGAAAACTAGTATCCTTGACTTCATTAAAGGTTGTCTACTGCAACCCACCTAGTTAACCAAAAGTGTCTCATTTCTAGTACTAAGTGCTATGGACGGGTAATTATTTATCCTCGTATTGTCTTGGTACATCTGAATTTCTGTGGCACGTTGGTTTCTGCCCACTCCTTGCTAGGCAAAAGAAGGAGAGTTTGTTGTTGCTGCTGCTGCTTTTTAAATAATTTCTACGGTCCTTCTGTTAGCAGCTGTCCAGACTGTTCACTCTAGCGCTATCTGGACAGAAGAGAGGTCCACCTCGTCAAGAGCAGCGGGTATTAGCATATATTAAATCCAGAATCGGAATGGAACGTTTTAGCTAGGGTATGTTTAAATATCCACCCAGATCAGACGCCTTTTCAGTGAAGCCAAAACCAGGCCAAACATACTTGCCTAAATACTGGATCCCAAAATCTTTTTAGCTGCAGGATACCTACGTAGAGAGAGAAAGCCGATGCAGAGTGTAGGGAGGTATAGGTAGTTAGGATGAGAAAATTACTGCATTTTTCCGTATGCTTGTACAGATATTTTGCTAATATCTGAACTGTTAGAAACTAACCTTTTTTCCTTTTTTTTTTTTTTTTTTAACCTTAACGTGGGTGAGAAGCAAAAGTATTGCATTCTTACAGGCAAGGCAAGGCAAGAGAATGGGGTACGCAACTACTGTAGCACGTGGCACTTGAGTACCTAGGTGCATAGAACATGGCAGTGCTCCTGTACTACTACCCTGTCCAGTTGTGAAGCTGGTAATGTAAGAGTAGTTTAAAGACATGTCCCTCCTGTGACTAGCTGGAGACAGAGGCTTCCCAGAGTGCAACAGGACAGCGAAGAGGATGTCTGAATCCTTAAGAGTCTGCCAGCAAGGCTGCAGTACATGCAAGTACAGCCGCAAGGTCTGGGAAATTGAGATTGAAATCACAGTGCATCTTAGTTCAGATCTGTAATGCTCATCAGTAGGTATCTGTAAATGCCGTTCATGTATAGTCTCCCCTAGCAGACAGTCACTTGTCACCGTTTCCTGTAGTCCCCGGCAGACAGCAGAAAGCTGAGCAGAATTTCAACCCAAAGGGAGAAGGGCTGAGGACAGAACGTAGACAATGGGGCACGCGTTTAGTGATTTTTCAGACAATTTGTTCCATAGATACGATCCCACTGCCGTTTCTGCCTTTTGTTTCAGTTGTTCCAAGCGTGTCAACTGTCATTATCGTAATCTGTGTGAGCACACTCGTTTTCATCGTAGCCTTGGGGGTCTACAGAATTCAAACAGCTCATCAGCACAGCTCCACAGACAATGAAGGAAGTAAAGAAAACGAAATGGACTGGGATGATTCTGCTTTGACTATTACCGTCAACCCCATGGAGGTACATAAGTGAGGCATGATACTAGAGCATGGTATTACCGTGAATTACTGCCTGGGCTGATAGCTTGCCCGGCAGTGAGTTTTAAGGCTCTTTCGGAGTACATTCATTTAGGTGGGGACTTGGCATAAGAGGCTGTACCTGCAGACATTCAGGGCCCTTCTCAGTGTTGAACTCTGCACACCGTGATAATACGTAAACTCTGCACTTAATATTTGTTGTCATATATCATTATTAAATTGCATGATGAAGAATTCCTGGGTACGAAACCACTTCCCCCTCCATTCATTGTAGATATTTGCACCATAGGCTCCCAAGATGATGTAGCTGGCCTGTTTGTTAACCCACGTTAATGTAAACACTAATGCACTAGAAGGAGGAATTCCGAAAAGAGCAATTGAAAGAAACTGACACTGAACGCTTAAACTTCAGCAGTTTGACTAAGCAGCAGATACCGTTTAGATCCTGTTCGTGTCACAACAGTTGCTGAATGTTTGCCGTTCAACTGTATCATATTTCATGCCTAACGTTCACATTATGATGGAAAGCGTATTTTCCCAGCATGCTAGTTATTCTGTGCGCGGAACAAGCGTTCGCATTTGCATTCGCACAGCCACTGGCTAGCAAAGAGGCACTTTTCTCCTACGGTCTCTCTTTCATTTCTTTGACTGTACTGTAGAAATACGAAAAGCCTCACCAGGCAGAAGAGGAGAGCGAGGAGGAAGAAGAGGTAGAAGATGAAGAGGAAGACACAACCAGTGCTGAATCAGATGAAAGTGAAGAGGAGGAGGAGGAGGAGGAGGAGGAAGAGATTGTCCAAAAGGGAGCCAAACAGAATGCCTCCAGGCAAGAGCAGTTGGAGTGGGATGACTCAGCGCTCCCCTATTAAGAGCCCTCCTGCCACTTGATCCTTTTGTAAACACCAATACAATGTTTTTTTTCAGAATCTGTGAGTTCATTGACAGGATGTGAACTTCTGCTTGCCTATTACTGTTTTTGCCTAAAATGATCTTGTAGTAATTGATAATGATAGAACTGATCCTCTTCCTGGGTGTGAGTTACAAAGCCTGGAGGAAACACAGTACAAACATACTGGCATCACCGATAATAAAGTAATCTGGAACTTGATCTGTTAGTTTAATCCTCAATTTCCTGTTTCTTTACCATAGATATGTGCCAGAAGTCCTGTCCCTCACTCCATAGAGGTTTTTTGCCTTGGCTGTTTTTTCATAAAGGAGGGATTTCAGCTTGTTACAAAGAATTACTTGTGTGGGTCCAAATAACAGTTGCCATTTGGCTTCATACTCTTACCTGCGTAAAACACAATCCACTTAACTTTCACATTAGGGCAGAGTTCTAGTGCTACCGGTGACAGAGATGGAATTCCATTTGTCTTCTCTTCTTGGATGTTAACCGTCTTCTGCAGGGGGTTACTTAGGACTTGACATGGGAAGCATGTGTGCCTGTATAGAATTGGACAGTATATTTTTCAGAAATGCTGTAAGGATCCTGAAGACAGGGGTTTTATCCAAGCCACCCATGGAAACTTGGCAGAGAGTTTTTAAAAAAAAAAAAAAACAAAAACGCAACGAGGGGATGCTGAAGGTTACCGAAAAAAATACAAAGCATTCTGTGTCCACAGATTGAGTAATACTTGCTTAGGCAAAATATAAATTCTAATGGGAGTGATTTACCGAAAACCTGTAGAGCTGCTCATTAGTTATGGATTTGGCAATTTGCAGCAAATCAGTGCTTTATAGTCTGTCTTGTAAAATCATTAGCTTGCTACAGTATCTTCCTGAAGAAGTGGAAAATAAGTGATACTCATTATTCAATAGCCATTTGTGGTGAGGATTTAAACAGTGATTTTACGTGAGGAAAATGTTCCCTTTTTTTTGCTTTACTGCATAATGCCAGCTCGAATATTCCTGTCTGGCTTTACTCTGTAAACGTATTATGCCCTATTTCTGCTGTACCCTTACTCACCAAATAGTGGCACAAGAGAAAAATGGCAGCATCACAGGCAACTGTCAGCTCTCTTTCATGCTCATAACGCTCTTTTCCTCTTCCTGAAGCCATTATCATTGACCAAGGGTTTCTGTAAAGTAGAACAAGAACAAACAAAACCTACTTGGAACCAAAAGAAGTTTAAAAAAAAAAAAAACCTCTTAAGAACTTGTGAGAGTGTTTTAGTTTGTTACGGTAACACAGCATATTTTTCTTAAGCACTGTTTAAAGAGTTTAAAAACGAAAACAGAAAACAAAGCTATGTATAGCGTGTTGGTAAGTCTGTGTGGTGTGTTTTCTGTCCCCGTTCCTTAATTCTGTATCTTCAAACGATCTGCGTACCCAGTGATGCAGCACTTTCTAGGACTAAACTGTTTTAATGCATAAGAACAAAATAGCATGGAAGTGAATGCTGCTTTGTGGCTTTTCTGCTTTTCCCTAAATATTTCCTTTTCTTCACAGTTTCATCACTGACTTTTTGTTTTTGTAATGTGCTGTTTAAAATGAGCCATTTCCTCTCCCCGCTCTCTGCCAGAGAAACAAGTAGTCGGTCTTGCCACAACAGGACTTTACCGGGCAGCCCTGACTGGCAGTTGATCCTGCCAAGAGTAACACTTTCTCCTAGAGTCTGAGCACTCTGGAGGGTGGCCACCTCGCTCAAAACTTTATCTGCTTGTTTGCACCCCAGCTCCTGCAGGTCTTGCAGTAAGAAGACTGCACTGTAGGGGGGGAGAGAGGGGAGGTTGAACTTTTTTAAATTCCAGTTTCTGGATCTGACAGCTGTTGGGAAAGGTTGACAGCAACTGGACCTTGAAGTTTAATAACAAGAAAGGGAATGAAAAGATCCCCTAAATTTATTTAAAAACTAGAGAGCTTTATTATGCTATTTATTTTGTGCTGAGGGACGTGGCACGTAACTGTTACGACTTGAAACTGGCAATTTACAGGTCGTCTTACGTGTGCAGTCCCATTTTATGTTTAGTCTAGTTTCTTACGTGAATTAAATACACGTGACTAGTTGCAGAATCAAGCGCAGATAAACTGTATCTACAGGAATAAAGAGTGTAGAATTAGCTAAAATTTCTGCTTATAGACACAATATCTTCAACAAGAAGATTCACGTTAGACCACTTCCAGCTATGAAAATTAAACATTAAAAATGTATTAATAACTTTTCCTTCCAGAGATGGAAATGAGCAAATATTAAGCAGGGGGAGTATTAGTTCATTTTTAATTTTTGTTAGTGACATGAAGCAGGTCCTTCATTACGGTTACTTTCTGCACATAGAGTAGACAAAGCTTTCTGCTCAGAAAAGAGAGACTTTTTTAAATTAAAGTCAATTTCAGATTTAAAAGCGAACCTGAATTACTTTTAGCATCTCTGTTGTCCCTAAGTCTTAGTATTGTTGTTGTTATTGCAAATATTGGGGCACCTGAAAACTGCAGCTTGCAACCTTATGGACAGCTTTTAATTGTTTTATATGGTCATGCCCTCGTAAGTGTGTTTCTCCACCTAATAGAGTTTTTTATATTTTTGTTACTGGAAGCAAATCTGTTCGGGTCATGCTGGTACCTTGCACAAGAGGCAAAAATGAAGTATTTTTCTCTACTGTAAATATACATACATTTTTAGACGTAAGAAGCTGAGTAATACAGGAACCTGTGTTATTGCTAGAAACGGTTTGCAGCAACACATTCAGTAACTGAAAAAAAAAATGCATCATTGTACTTATTTTAGATTACTCATTGGGGTGGGTTAATGCCGCATTTTTCATTCACATATTCAAATATTTTCACAAAATTGCAGTACGAGTAGGATGTGTCTTCACAAAATGAACCTTAGAATTAGAATAGTCCTATAGAGTTTGACAGCAATGGCTTCATTAGAATGACTTAGAAATACCACATTTTTCAGAAATATTCCAGAAATAATTTAAACAATATTCCCTTTGGCCACTTATGAATTACTTTTTGATGTAAGCTAGTTGCTTAAAAATCAAACTGGAACACAGTCCCAGACAAACACACACACGTGTGCACGCGCGCTCTTCCTTTCACTATGATTACCTTAGCCTGGCTGCAAGGTTGCCCTAGCAAGACACGCAAAAAAAGTTGTATTTTTACAGCAGCATTAAAAAAATGCAGCCAAAAAAAAAAAAAACCCTGGAAAAAAAAAAGAGGTGCAAATTCAAGCTGGTGATACCATACGGTATCCAAATTAACGTAGCTGTCTCAGTTGCTTTTTTCTGATCAATAGCTCACGTTTCCTTTTCACGTCTACCCCTTCCACAGGTGTTTTAGCTCTGCAAGCAAATCTGAAGATGCACAGTTGTTGAGATCAATCTCAGTATGTACTACATTGGTTGACAGCAGTTCAAATTAGAAAGAGACTTGTAGGGTTCGTGGCATCTTTGATACTAACTAACTAAAATAAAATATTGTTGCCTGGGCTGGAATATTTCTTCATTCACACACGCAACAGTCTGCTGCAGTGGTGGCTCTAATGCTTTTTTTTAATTAATTGGTGGGACATCTTCCCCCGCTGAGGGCTACTGCGCTAGTGCAGTATAGGTCCCTTAGCGGGTGGGCTGTGGCGACGGGCTTGCTGCGAGCATGTGCACCAGCCGTACTTTGTGCAGGAGGTAAAGACTCAGATGGCATCAGAGAGTTATACACCTCTTCTAGTGGGGCTGGAGGCCACTGCCCCCCTTAACAGGAGCTGCTCCTCCTAACCTTGCGCTGAGGCAAATACCACAGGACATCAGTAGCCTCAGGTTAAGGACTACTCAGAGGCTGCTTCTAGTAGCAGCCCTCACGCTAGTTTGGCAGCCCCTTCTGAACCTTGCACCTAATTTATGTCTCAGCTGTCTCTCGCCCAGAATTGCAACCCAAGTGGCAGCTCTAGGGGTTTCACCTGGTAGGGATCCCCGCAGGCCAGGCCAGGACACTTTCTCGTCTGCATGTTTTCATGCCTTCACCACCATCCATGCTTACCAGAACAGGGAAACAGGAAGACTTTTATCCGTATCGGTATAGCCTTACCAGTTTTTGTATGCTTACTGAAAATGACAGTAAAAAA